AACATATCATACAGGCTATTTAATATGAGTTGTACGACATTTTTTTCTCATTAATGATCTAGAATGTGTTGATAATAATGATTATTGTAAAAATATTTTTTAAGTCAACTTGAGAATATGTTTGAGAATATGTTAAACCTTAACACTATTTTTTACGTTTAACAACAAACGGTTGGTGAGAAATTGTATTGAATCTGTACCGTTAATTGTCCTTAATGGTGTAATTTTAATTTGTTATTAAAAATAGGTTGGACTTTAGATACACTAAATAAAATATCCTTGTAATAATATATGCAAGCATCACTATTATGTGACATTTTAAGTATTGTACTGGGTGCTGTAAATTAAAACATTTTAAAAACTACTTAATTTACATAAATAACTAAATAACATGTAAAAATACAACAAGAAACATCCCTATATTAGATTGTTAAATCTTTATCAGTAAACCATTAAGAGTTTAATACAAAAAATTATTTGCCACTGTTCAGTTTTCGTCGATGTAATCAAAATATGTATGTATGAGGAAAATGTAAGTTGCTCGTAATCCAATTTATATAACTATTATTTTAGAAATATTGATCAATGTTAAGACCAAGTACAACTCCAATATTGCGGCTTGTCAGCGACACTCCTCCCGGCATTTCCGGATCCTGGAGATACAGTCTCAAACATATCACAAACATATTACTTCATTTTTTGCAAACAGTGCTAAACGGGAGGAGGGGGGAATAGAGTTATTGGACTTTTTATTGAAATCCAGCCCCTTATTTCACAAATCTTGTTATACATAGTCCGAATGTGGTCATCGTTTTACTTTTCAACTAATTACCACTAAAACCATCATATTATTATTTTCTATTGCAGATAAACTTTCGTGCACCTAAATATGACACTTATCATATTAATTGCAAGGAATGTTTGCTTGGTTAGTATATTTGCTATGTTATTAGCAGTGATAATGATTATTTTGATTAACACTTGAAATTATTTTGATTTAAAACTTACGATTTACATAGTGTGCACTGTATGGACACAAAACAACATCCTGCACAGCAGGGGCAGGGGTTAGTGTGCTATGTAAGGTGGCACTAAGTGTGCACTGTATGGACACAAAACAACATCCTGCACAGCAGGGGCAGGGGTTAGTGTGCTGTGTAAGGTGGCACTGTGGGTGCACTGATGGACACAAAACAACATCCTGCACAGCAGGGGCAGGGGTTAGTGTGCTGTGTAAGGTGGCACTGTGTGTGCACTGTATGGACACAAAACAACAACCTGCACAGCAGGGTAGGGGTTAGTGTGCTGTGTAAGGTGGCACTGTGTGTGCACTGTATGGACACAAAACAACAACCTGCACAGCAGGGGCAGGGGTAAGTGTGCTGTGTAAGGCGGCACTGTGTGTGCACTGTATGGACACAAAACAACAACCTGCACAGCAGGGGCAGGGGTTGGTGTGCTGTGTAAGGTGGCACTGTGTGTGCACTGTATGGACACAAAACAACATCCTGCATAGCAGGGGCAGGGGTTAGTGTGTTGTGTAAGGCGGCACTGTGTGTGCTCTGTATGGACACAAAACAACAACCTGCACAGCAGGGGCAGGGGTTAGTGAGCTGTGTAAGGCGGCACTGTGTGTGCACTGTATGGACACAAAACAACAACCTGCACAGCCAACAACAACCGTAAAAATAATCTGTATAAATTGTACTCAAAGAATAGAGACAATGGTAAGTTAAAGTTAGAATATAAAGCTTTTTCGAAAAATGTAACGAAACGCATCAAACAAGCTAAATTGAATTACTATTAAAATCTTATAGAGAGATCAAATGGTGACTCAAGAGAGTATTGGAAAGTTATCAGAAAAATTATTAAAAAAAGCAAAAAGTCTTTTAACAACATAAGAGTGAACAATGTGCTGTTACAGCGTAAAGGAAATGAGGATAATATTGCAAATGAGTTTAATAAATTTTTTGCTAATGTTGTCTCTAGGTTAAAACAGGAAAACTTTGGGAATGATACGTTTATGGAAGATGTAGATGAGTATGAAGTGTTTCTTAGTGATTTTACTTTTAGAGATGAGGAGTGGTTAATACTATTAAGTGCATGAAAAAAAAGTTTAGTGTAGTTATTGATGGAATTAATATTTTTGTAATCAAGGAAAACTTAGATATTTTTGCCCCTCTCCTGTGTAAAATTTATCAGTTGTCGTTGACACAGGGTGTTTTTCCTGACAAACTTAAAGTAGCCACTGTTGTCCCCATTTACAAGTCAGGTGACCCCTCTGAAATCGTTTCATATCGTCCAATCTCAGTTATAAATACAATAGCTAAAATCTTTGAATCTCTCATTAAGAAAAAAATATTTGAATACTTTGAAAGAAAATCATTATTTTCGAATCATCAATATGGAATTTTACCAGGCAAGGGAACGGACTTGGCTATAGAGAGGCACATTAGCTGCATCACCGAATCAATGGATAGAAATAAGTACACACTGTCACTGTATTTGGACTTATTATTTGTTTGGACATTTGATGTTCTAGATCTTAACATTTTATTTCATAAGTTTAGCAAGTATGGTATAGGTGGGAAAGCTTTGGAATGGCTTATGCCATTTTGCAAAGACAGGATGCAGGTAGTAAAAATAGACAACAATTTGAGTGGTGTGAGCCGTGTCAGTCGGCTCAGTTTGAGAAAGGAGAGTATTTCTTATAGTACATATTGCGGCAGAAGCACTGTACGCCGACGCTCGCCAAAGGCCGTGGGCGAGTCCACTTTGTCTTTACTCCCCTTCTTCTCCGATTTGCTTGGAGACGTTCTCTCTCTTTGAAATCGTCCACCAAGATTGACGTTCCAAATTTTACCGGCACTATGGAGACTCAAGAAAGAAGATTTTCCAAGTTCATTTTGTTCGACCTTCATAAAATGCAATTTTAAATTTGTTTTTTGACACCAAGCCAGGTATGTCAAATCATTGTATTAGATTAATTGTCCGTTTTTTCATTTTTAAACTTAGCCATTTTTTCCCTCAAACATTTTGTCTGTTCTTGAAAGCGTTCACAAGAGATTTGTCCTTTTTCTCTATATTTGTGTAAAATGATGTTTATAAGGTCTTTTAAAGTTGTTTAAATTGTTTAACTTGTTTTGTCAAATGTTTAAAATTGTAGTTGTCAAAAATTTTGTGCTTAAAGTTAGTTTTTGTCTGGTCACAGACAGGAAAATTTCATGTTGGTGTTCAGGACACACGTGTTCGACTTTGGTAAATTTGTTGTTTTTAATTATTTGTGTTGTTCTGAGTCGTCATTTGTTTGTGTTTACAGGTTTTCCAAACTAAAGTAAAGTGAAAGAGTTAGTTTTTCCTTTTAACAAAATCCACAGGCTAGGCCTAGGCTGGAAATTGTATTAGTATTAGTAACAGAAAACTGAATGAAAATATGTATTGTTTTGTTAAGCCAAGAAAAGCAATAGAGATTATTTGTTTAACCATGACTAACAGAGATTTAAATTTTTACTTAAAGTGTTATGTAAATTTAGCTCTGCCGTAAACTCCCGAAAGACCAAGTCTATATTCCTTGAAAGGGTTAGGTTTGATAATATTCTGAAATACTGATTATTTTCAACTTTTAAGTAGGCCTGTGTAATTTTAAAGGGCTCCTGTACTGGACCGACAGCAGCGGACACATCATGCCTCCTGATCCTGACCTAGTTCGGAGCAAGACGAGGGCTTCGCCCCCGGACTAAACCAGGCCTAACCACAACCAACTCGCAGCGGAAGGACTTCACCCAGAAACATTCTACGAGAACTTTGGCCTTCTTCACCTCTACAAACCAGGTGCTATCTACTCCATGTTATCATTATTATTCCAACGTTTGCATTCAGCCTACCTTCAAGAACAGTTCATTTATATCAAGTTTTTCCCCAATTTAAACTTTTACCGTTTCAATTTCTTAAACTCTGTAGCCTAGCAAATTGAGCTTAGTGTTTCCCTAACTAGGCCTACTTCTTATTTCTGGACTAAACTACAGACTATAAATCCCCTTGTGTTTTTTACTGTTTCAAATTAAATGATTTTATTTCTCTATCGCTGCGAGTTGAGTTGTGGAACTGGAACTAACAAAAGTCAACAAGAATACATTATTTATATCACGGGTCTACGAGTTTTTTTTTTAAAAGCTACAAGAATTCATGTATTTAGTAGGGTGTCACATTTCCTTGTTATTTCATTATTTTGTGTATGTACCATGTTATGTTAGTAATAGGCTAAAAATTTCTGTTCTAACGGGGAAACTTTCGGCCCAATTGTTCTAAATTTCATTTCGGTTCACGCCAGTACTAAATTCTTCCCCACAATTTTTGCCATTTTAAAAATTCTATTTCTTACTGTTTAAATTAAAATTCTATTCTGATGTTAGTGTATATTTGTGTATAATTGTCTTATGTTGCTATTTAAATATTTTCATGTCAATGTTGAGTGTAATTTTGAACTGTAAGGTTGTTCGAACGTTTTTCTTTAAACGCAACTTGTTATTGATATTTTGGTCAAATACTATTTTTAAATGATTTCATTGTAAGGTCATTTCAATTCAACGTCTGTTTTATGTAATATTTTCAATTTCTTGCCTTTTAAGATTCATATTTTTAAATTTATCATTGTCCTAAACCTTTTCCGAGTAGGCCTAACCTAACTTAAAGTAAGGATTTTCTTCTAGTTACCAGCTTGGTCCTTAAACTTAAACTTGAACTTCAACTTTTGGTAAAGTTTATATATACATAAATGTTTTAAATGTTTTGGTAAATGATTTAGGCCTAACACTGGTATTGATTTACATTCTAAGCCTTGTACCAATTTGTATATATTATTTCGCTGTTGTTTAAGGGCGCATATTTGTTAATATTTTAATTGAGTTGGTAATAAAAGATGTTAATCACTTTTCAGTTGTATTTTTTGAACACCTGCAGATCTCTCATGAGCACAGAATCTTGGTAAAAGTTCCACGTACCATTTTGGGGTCTGGGAACTCAGTCATGTTTCATTTGGTAGCAGAGCGGTGTTTTTTTTTTTCAAATGGCTCAGTAATTTAGAGTGTTTGTTAGCATTTTAATATTTCTGTGTTCTTGGGGGTCTGAAGGTGATTCAAATTGTTTTCAGGTCATGGCCGTTGGATTTTGAAATTTTCTGAACTGTGTGTTCCTGGGTATCAACATGAAAAACTTGTTGGAATTTGTCTCATTTGTTGTTTTGTCATTTCATTGTGTTTTGTATTTCCTTGTGTAGATTAAAAAAAAATGTTTCGAGTTGTTTTCACGTAGGCCCGTCATTGATTGTCCCGTTTTGTTCGCGTTTTGGTTAGGAGCCCTGGCAATGGTGTTTTTTGGTGAATTGTTAATTGTAAAAAAAAAAAAAAATTTGCTGTCGTGTTTGTTGTTTGTATTCAAATTTTGTCGAGATGAGTAATTTAAACCCCGATTTTCTGCTGAAAAAGGAACTCCAGTTTGAAGTTGCCTTGCGAGGTGAGACCCCAGCTTTGAAGGTAGCTGATTTGAGACGTCAACTCAGGGGACTCATAAAAGCCAACAAGCCCCCTACCTCTGCTGTGAAGAATGATCCCGGTGAAGAATGGGAATTTTGTAAGGAGCTTGCTGAGGAATTAACTTTAGGTGTGAAGGACTTGGGCGATTATCCTGATCTGGGTTCCAATGCTGTTCAGCGCTTGAGAGTTCGTCTTGAACATCTTGAAAGACGGCTAAATGCAATAGATCCTGTTCAGGCTGTTGGAGAGGATAGCGAAGTTACTGTAACTCTTGTGCTTCAACAAGTCCGTGAGCACTTGTGCTTTTTATTAAATCCCAAGCCCAGAACTGCCACCGGGAACAAGGAGTTGGAACAACCTACTGTCAATGTTGCTAGTGGCGGTAGTCAGGAGATCCAGACTCCAGACGAAATAGTGATTAACGAGAAGGATGAGTCGCAAACTCCTGCTACGAATGTAACTAATACTTCCAGTCCTTGTAATAAAATTCACAGTGCTGTATCTGGAAATTCACAGCCATCATCACAAACTGTGCAGGCTACTTCCAAACTCCCTGGAACCATGATAGCGCCACAATATTCTAGGCTTCCGAACCCAGTCAGCCAGGTTATGGAGAAGCTCCCCGTTACCGATGGACTCGAAGTACCGCAACTGTTGAATTTCCTTAGTTCCCTACTCCGTCTGAGAGAATTCCCTGGTGTGGATGACTCCACACTGCTAAAACTGGTGTACCCCTATTGTCGCAGCCCTTTGACTGAGAGAGTACTGTCATGTATCGAAGCTACCCGATCGTTTGATGATTTCCACCAAGAAGTTTTGGATTATTTTGTGCCGGGTAGGCTACTTCAACAATTGATACAGGAGAAATTTTACCGATTACAACGTCCAAGGGAGAGTCTGGCTAGTTTTGCTGCTGATCTTAAACATGTTGCTCGACTGCTTCGGGTTAAATTGGGAGAGACGGGAATAGTTGAAGTCATTCTGGGAGGTTTAACAGCCGAAGAACGTTCTCGTTTGGTTTTTTCGAGGCGACCGTCATCCTTCATTGAACTGGATGAGTTGAGCATCACATCACGAAACGTTGCCTATACTGACGGGTTGAGAAGTTCTTGTGCCCCGGGCGGTTCAGATATGCGGGTCCGAGAAAATTTGAAAAGTTTACCACTTATGAGTATGGAAGCAAATCCTTCACACAATACAGATAGGCCACGTACTGTTTTTACTTGTTACGGATGTGGCAGGAAGGGTCACACCCGAAGATATTGTAGAGCCACTCAAAACAGCAGGTTTATGCAGCCTCGACAGGAACCCCGTGAAGTTTCAAAAAACGAACAGAGCGGGGGGGAGAAGGAGAAATAAAACCGCCCTCCGCAAAAGCCTCGGAGAAAGTAAAAGCAGTTGTTTCGTTACTCAACTTGCTAAGCAAGGTATTAGAGTGTCACCTGGTCACTGTCCTTATGTTCTGGTTAATTTTGGTGAATACCGTTGTGGAGCACTTCTGGACTCTGGATCCGCTCGAAGTCTATTATCACTGGAACTTTATAATCAGTTATTAAATCAAAATAAAATAAAATCAACTGAGACCATCAATCTACAATGTTTAACGGCTTCAAAGGCAATATTACCTATTAAAACTCAGATTCTTTGTAATGTCAAAATAGAAGGATTTTCATGGCTATGGACTTTTCTGGTCTCTGAAAAATTGGGAGTGGATTGCATCCTGGGAGCGGATTTTATTTCACATACTCAATTGGTTGTTGACCTTAGTCGGAGTAAGGGGTAGTAGTAGCCTAAGGTCACTCCTATCGCACCACCTGTCAGGGCAGGTGGGGTGAATTAATTGAGTTTAAAGCCCATCAGGCGGAAATGGTTGCTTCCGGTGCTACGTCACTTTGTGACGTCATAGGTGATGTGTAATGGTAACAGGATACAGGTGGTAGGAGCTGGTGGTAATGGATAGGGGATGAAACAGCTGTCTGTACAGTAGTGTGTTTAAATAGCTAATACTTGTTCGTTTGCAATTGTCTTAAATGTATTGGGAATATCAACCAACAGCTACACCAAGGTTTTAAACCAAAACACAGCTTATATGTAGACAATAAATTGAGTTAAAATCATATTGTCGACGGTAACATTTAACAGTAGCCTACAGTATTGTACTAGTGCCCGCGGCGGCGTGGTGCAAGGTTGTGTCGTTGTGTCACCGGCCGCCGTGAATTAGGCTGAGGCCGCGAAGGGAAAGTGAGTGGGCAGTGGAACAAGGTCAAATGCCCCTACTCAACCTCCATGTGGATTTGTATCCACAGTTCTACAGTTTGCTTTCGGACATAGCGGCGGAGTGTTGTACGGTCCTGGGTCTATCGTTTGCATCGTTGATGCCATCGTAATACTACACCTCGATTGACTCAACAACACAAGGTATTGTAAAAACCAATTTTAATTTATATCTTATGTTAGATAGTCGCAGGTTAGCTGTTTGTGGTTAAAAGATGTTTATACAGAAATACGTTCCAAAAAGTAGATATATTTTCCCCATGTTAGTAAATATTTGTTGGTCTTAAAAAAAACCTTAAGTAGTGGTGTATTACGGGTACTGGAGACCGTGACGTAAAAAATTAAGTAAAATTAAATATCGTTTATATTTTGTTAAACAGTTTGACAGATCAGACTTTGTGGTCAAAATATGTTTATATAATGGAGTCTTTAGAAAGACTGTTTTTTTTTTTAAGTGAATTATACCCAATTCCATGTGTCCTGACTTGTGCGAATCAAATAAATTAGTTTGCCATCTTCAACGTCAGGAGGCTTTGGCACATTTAATCGTGTCGGAAAGCAAACCTCTAAAAACTTGTTGTCATAAAAGAAAATAAACGTTTTACCATTTTCGTTTTGTCTTTGTTCTACTAATTGATAATGTTTGTTTTGTAACACATATTTAAATGTTACTTTTTCTGTTTCTATTGGACTTACTAGTTGAGGAAGCTTCATTTCTTGACATATGGCTTCGGGTGATAATTGATTAGAATAATTTGATCCTGATGCATTCCAATGTAGTGGTAATTTAATTTGCTTCTGAAACTTTAGACGTAGTGACATTGACTTGCGAAAATTGCTAGTTTTAGTAGTAGTAGATTTCTTTAAATCTTCTTTTATTCTCTTTAGTTTATCTTGTGTGATTGTACTTGGCTTATCCATAGTTAACATCAGAACAGAGCTAGCATATGTGAACAGTCTTCGTTGAAGGTTCGACACTGAATGATGTGATGTTGGAGGTTTGGAGACTTCCTTACTTGGTAGGTAGAATTACCCGACAGTAGGGAAATTTACCCGCGAAGCAGGGTAAACCTCCCAACCGACCCCCTCCCAACTGGCTCGCGGATAAAAGTAGCGGCAGCGAACGGACTGTAGTCAGTCTCACCCAACTGGCACAGCTGACTGGTTGAGTGTAGACTGACTGACTTTTGATTAAAACCTTTCGTTAGATTTGGCCAATCTAACTTAATGTTTTAGTCAATAGCATGTGCTGCATGTTGTTTTTTTAGCTTGTATCTTAGATGGTTTTACTTTATGGAGTGCATCGTGTCTTTAGTACTTGAATTGCGCAGAGTGTTGTATTTTTCTAATCATGTGATATTTCAGCTAACAAAGGATAAAGAAGTCCCCCATTAAAATGAACAATCTTTTGTGACTGTAAATATTCTATATTTAAAATTTAAGTTGACCATTTTGTAATTAGTTGAGAGGTCCAACGGCCTGCATACTATTCTGCATTTGGTTAAATTAAATTTTAAACTTTTGTTGTCATTGGTAGTTTACTTATGTCAGCTAACAATGAACACTTTCTTGTGACTGTAAATATTCTATATTTTAAAATTTAAGTTGACCATATTGTAATTAGTTGAGAGGTCCAACGGCCTGCATACTATTCTGCATTTGGTTAAATTAAATTTTAAACTTTTCGTTGTCATTGGTAGTTTACTTATGTCAGCTAACAATGAACACTTTCTTGTGACTGTAAATATTCTATATTTTAAAATTTAAGTTGACCATTTTGTAATTAGTTGAGAGGTCCAACGGCCTGCATACTATTCTGCATTTGGTTAAATTAAATTTTAAACTTTTCGTTGTCATTGGTAGTTTACTTATGTCAGCTAACAATGAACACTTTCTTGTGACTGTAAATATTCTATATTTTAAAATTTAAGTTGACCATTTTGTAATTAGTTGAGAGGTCCAACGGCCTGCATACTATTCTGCATTTGGTTAAATTAAATTTTAAACTTTTCGTTGTCATTGGTAGTTTACTTATGTCAGCTAACAATGAACACTTTCTTGTGACTGTAAATATTCTATATTTTAAAATTTAAGTTGACCATTTTGTAATTAGTTGAGAGGTCCAACGGCCTGCATACTATTCTGCATTTGGTTAAATTAAATTTTAAACCTTTGTTGTCATTGGTAGTTTACTTATGTCAGCTAACAATGAACACTTTCTT